GGTGGAGCCGCAGCAGGCCCAGGCCACCCCCAGAACCAGCAGGGACAGCAGACCCAGGAGGTGCCCGGTGGTCTCAGACATGCTTAACTCTCCCTGGGCCAACGCGGTTTTCTTTTCGATGATCGTTTTCTGATCGTGTGAGTTATAAACGACAACTTGTACAGAACAAACACTCGGAGCAGTGCAGCACCACATTAGGAGAAAGCCCCCGCCTCCGGCGCGGCCGCCAGCAGTGGGGCTCCTGGCCCAGCGCTCCGCGCATCGTTCACCCATTTAAAGTGTGCAGCTCTGCGGTGTTTAGGATGTTCACAGAGCTTGCAGCCATCTTCACAATCAGTTTTAGAACATTTTCATCACTCCAGAAAGAAACTCCACACCCCTTAGCTGTTACCCCTATCCTTCCACCCCCATCCACCCCCCCAGCAACCACTGACGTACTTTCTGTCTCTGTGGATTTCCCTCTTCCAGACGTTTCGTGTCAGAGGACCCTACAAGACGTGATCTTTTGTGTCTGGCTTCTGTCACGGAGCATGACATCGCCGAGGTTCCTCCACGTTGTGGCGTGTCAGGCCTTCCTTTCTCTTCATGGCTGAGGAAGATTCCATTGTACAGATAGACCACATTTTGTGTGTCTGTTCTTCTGTGGATGGAAACCGGGGTTGTTTCCACCTTTTGGCTATTGTGAACGGTGCTGCGATGAACATGCATGTACAAGCTTTTGTGTGTTTTCAGTTTGCCTGGGGTGTATACCCAGGAGTGGAATTGTCGAGTCACACGGTAACTCTGTGTTTCACTTGTTGAAGAATCACAAAGTAGCTGCGCCATTTCACATTCCCACCAGCAGCGTATGAGGGTTCCACTTTCTCCGCATCCTCACCAACACTTGCTGTGATCTGTCTTTTTAATCATTGCCATCCTAGCGGGTTTGAAGTGGTATCTTATTGTGGTTTTGATTTGCACTTCCCTAATGATTAATAATAAGTATCTTTTCATTTGCTTATTGGCCATTTCTACATCTTTGGAGAAATGTCTATTTTTTTGTCCACTTTTCAATTTGAGCTGTTTGTCCTTTAATTGCTGAGTTGTAAGAGCTCTTTATATATTCTGGATATCAATCTCTTACCAGATATATAAGAATTATTGGTGGTGCAGTGGTTAAGCACTCAGCTGCTAACTGAAAGCTCGGTGGTTCAAACTCACGAGCCACTCCATGGGAGAAAGATGTGGCAGTCTGCTTTGATAAAAATTTACAGCCTTGGAAACCCTATGGGGCAGTTCTACTCTGTCCTACAGGATCACTATGAGTTGGAATCGACTCAGTGGCAATGGGTTTGGTTTGGTTTTATCAGATATATGATTTACAAATATTTTCTCCCATTCTGCAGGTTGTCTTTTTTCTCTCTTTTATGGTGTCCTTTGAGACCCAAAAGTTTTTGGTTTTGATGAAGTTCAATTTATCCGTTATTGGCTGAAGAGACTCAGAGCCCCATGTGTCCCCCAGGGCCCATGGCTGTTGTCTCCTCCCTGGGGGAGCACAGTGGGCTGGCTGAGGAGACTCAGAGCCTGCATGTCCTGCCAGTGTCTTGGAGAAGCAGCAGGGGCGGCTGGAGAGGCTGGAGGAGCAGCTGCTGAGGCTGTGCACACGAGCTGCGGACAAGGAGCAGGGCAAGCAGGTCACTGTGGGCACCTCCAAGTTCAACTTCCTGGACCCCAGGATCAGCACTGCCTGGTGAGTGGGCTGGGGGGGGGGCGGGGTTGTGAAGCCCACATACCCCGGGGCAGCCATCCTGTTTTCGAAGGAACAGTCCTCAGGGTGGGGCAGAGGGGCCCCCCGAGTCCTGTTTCAGGGCTGCAGTGGGCAGGCAGGGCCCCCCCTTCCCATGACCCTTGGGTCAGCGACTGGCCCTCCTGGACTCAGTGGCCTTGACCAGGGATCCCTGTGTGCAAGCCCCCACCCCCACCCCAGGCACCAGTCCTCGAGCCAGCCCTGGGGTCCCTCTCCTCTCAGCTTTGGGGTCTTGAGGATAAGCAGACCCCAGGGGTCAGCGGCTGGGGCTGGGGGACAGGGAGCCTGATGAGGCTTCTGTACCCTGATGTGCAGTGACCCCAAGCGTTGGGCCCCATGCCTCCCTGCCCGATCAGCTGGGTCCTCAATGCTGCCCAACACCCCTAGAGGGGTGGGGGTGGGGACACCCCTGAGTGGTGGGGCGCCGGGCCCTGATGAGTTGGCTAGGGTGGGTCCCGTCCTCACTCGGGGGCGGTGCTCAGGCTCCTGCTGTGCGGGTCTGACTCCTCCCCCCAGGTGCAGGGGTTCGCGGTGCCCCTGGAGAAGATCTACAGCAAGGCACAGGGGGAGGAGTCCTGGCAGCGGCCTCAGCCCGTAAGGACTGTGAGAGCTGAGCTCCATCTCGTGAAGCTTCTTCTGTGGTTTTTCACTATTAGGGCAATGTCGGGGAACTGTATATAATAAAATTTCTGCTGCAAGTGTGTTCTGCTTCACTATGGGGACAGAGGCTGAGGAGCTACCCAGAGGGCTGTGGGTTCCTCGGACCCTCAGTGCCCAGTCTTACCCCCGACCCCCCTTCACGAGCACAGGTAGGGCAGGAGGAGGCTGGACCTGGTCCTGCCCCCACCTCTGCCACTAAGGGAGTGCCTGCCATGGGCTCTTCTAGAAGGGGGTGACTTAGGTTACTGTGGACTTGGGGTGCTGGGGGCAAGTGAGGAGATCCCCAAGAAGGCAGGTGTAGGCCCGAGTGTGAACATCCACAGTGAGGAAGGCGAGGCCTGGGACCCTCCAGCCAGCCTTCCTGGGGCCTGTCCCCCTCAGGAAGAACGGGAGGGCGACCCCCCACATACATGCTTCTGCAGTAGGGAGCCTGGGTGTGGCCTCCCACATACACCCATCTGCCCCGCCGAGCCCGGGGCTGAGTGGAGGATGGGAGCCGATTGCCAATCAGGTTATACAGGAAGCTGCATAATCATGGCATTTTACTCTATTTCCTCTCCTTCATTCTCTTACTCTCCTCTTGGGACTCCTATCATATCTTTGACAGGCTTTTCATTTTATTCTACAAATCTTTTTAACATTTCTTTGATATTTTTCATGTCCTCATCTGCTTCATATTCTCGATTTCTTTGGCTATATCTTCCAGTTCACTAATGCTCTCTTTAGCTCTGTCTAATCTGCTATTTAACCTACCTATTGAGTTTTATTTCAACACTTATATTTTTCATTTCTAAAATTTCTGTTTTAAAATACCGTGCCTAGTAATGCCTGATAGTCTCTTATTGCTTGCTCCTCACTATCATTGTGTCCTTTATTTCTTTAAATATTTCATATATAACTATTCTGTAGCCTGTATTTTCTGGCAATTTTAGTACCTACAGTCTTCTGTGGTTTATATCTGCTGTTTGCTGTTACTGTTACTGTTGACACTAATCATTGTGACCCACCTTCCTGTGTAGTTGGTGATCTTTAGTTGTAAGCTCATTGTCTGATCTTATTAGCAGGAATCCTACAGGGCCTAAGTAGGGGAAGTTTTCCTCCAAAGAGCAATTGCATTGGCTTCTACTGGTACCTAGGAGGCACCACTAACCTAGGGCCCTTCAGGCTCTCTGGGGGTCTTTCCCACCTCGCCATTGGCCCCAAATCCGTAGCCCAATAACTGTGGTACCACAGAAGCCACTCTGAAGGCAACCCTGATCCTACAGGCTGTACAACCCTGTAGCCTAAGCTCACGTTTTATGGGGGATGGGACCAACAATACCTCAAAGATAGACACGATATGATTGTTCTGTAGCAGTAGGGACTCTCAAACACCTAGTGTAATGCAAAAATCCAAAGTCTTTACTTCAAATACAGTGAAATCCTGTGTTACTACACAGAATAATAATATAAATTTCGATATATCATGATTAACAATTGGCTTCTGTCCTCTACCCGGCCGGTCCTCCGAGCAGCTAAGATTCTACTCTTCACTTCAAAACAAGTGAAGTGCTATCTCCTTGTATAGCCCCCCTCCATCCCTATCTTTCATAATCTCCTCCACATGCTTCACTCACTTATTCCTATGTGGAGTGCCTGCTCTGTGCTCAGGCCTGTGCTAAAATAACCACAGGCTTCAAGGGACTCATCATTTGATGGAGACAGACAGACATATGCATATAGCTCTGATACAAGGTAGAAAGTGACTACTGACTTTTTCAAAAGTGCTAGGGACCCCCCCAAAAAAAAATGCTGATACATGGATGGATTTCAAACAGATTAAGCAGAGAAAAAACCCAGACATAAAAGGAGTATGTCCTATATGGTTCTACTTATACCAAGTTTTAGAACAAGCAAGACAAATTACAGTGACAGAAACCAGGTGAGTGGGTGCTTCTGGGGATAGGGAAGGTCAGCCTGAAGGGGGCACAAGGGAACTTCCTGAATGATGGAAACAGTCTGTATCTTGACAGCATGGTGGTTATAAAGATCAGGACATATTTGTTAAAACTCATAGAGCTGAAGATGTAAAGTCTATGCATTTCATTGTAGGTAAATTGTATCTCAGAAAAAATAAAAACAAAGTGCCATGAAAATGAAAAATTGACTGCAGCGAACACGGGCATGGAGGAGGGGGAGAGAGCAGATTAGGCAAGGCATCTCCAGGAAGAGGATACTTGGAATGGGGGGTAGTGTGCTGGCAAAGAAGACAGTGTGCGCCAAGGGCAGCACATAAAACAGCCGGGCCCAGGCACCTGGTGATCAGAACACCTGCTTCCCTCCGGGGAGACCTCCACGTCCTCCCACAGAGCTGCCCTCTGACCCCTCCACTCTGACTGCTCCCGAGGAAGGCGGCGGCACACCACCGCGGAGCCCTTCACACAAGCAAGACAAACTCCCAGGATGGCTTCATCGCTTTCCTGACCTCACACGGAAGGAAGCTAGCTGTGTTCATATTTTAAAGGCACTGCTCCCACACCCTGCGATCGTGTTTACACATTTTCCCACTGCACACTCACCCCGTGATGGCTCATTCCAGGCTGTGCACCCGCTGGTGCTGGATCAGGTGGAAACTCAGGCGGAAAGCCTTCCCACACTCAGTGCAGTGAAAAGGCTTCTCGCCCGTGTGGACGCGCTGGTGGCGGAAGAAGCCCGAGAGGGCGCGGAAGGCGCGGCCACACTCCGCGCACTCGTAGGGCTTCTCCCCGGTGTGGATGCGCCGGTGCTCCCGCAGGAAAGAGCTGCGGCTGAAGGCGCGGCCACACTCCGCGCACTCGTAGGGCTTCTCCCCGGTGTGGATGCGCCGGTGCTCCCGCAGGAAAGAGCTGCGGCTGAAGGCGCGGCCGCACTCGCGGCAGGCGTAGGGCTTCTCCCCGCTGTGCACGCGCTGGTGCTGGATGAGGTTGGAGCTCTGGCTAAAGGCCTTCCCGCACTCCTCACACGCATAGGGGTTCTCCCCGTGATGGATCCTCTGGTGCCGTACAACGTTAGAGCTGTGGATGAAGCTTCTCCCACACTCGCGGCACTCGTACAGTCTCTCACCAGTGTGGATGCGCTGGTGCTTGGCAGCGTCCGACCGCTGGCTGAAGGCCTTGCCGCACTCGGCACACTCGTATGGCTTTTCTCCCGTGTGGATCCTCTGGTGGCGGATGAGGTTGAAGCTCTGGCTGAAGGTCTTCCCGCACTCCTTGCAGGCGTAGGGCCGCTCCCCGTTGTGGACCCGCTGGTGCCGGACGACGTGCGAGCTGTGGATGAAAGCCTTCCCGCAGTCGCTGCACGCGTACGGCTTCTCGCCCCCGTGGATGCTCTGGTGCTTCACCACATCCGAGTAGCACGCGAAGGTCCGATCACAGATGCTGCACGGATAAGGCCGCCCCTTCCAGGGCGCTCCTCGTGGTGTCCTGGAGCTTGGAGGCCGGGACACACAGCTCCCCTGGCCGCTCTGCCTACCAGGTTTCTCATGGGTGCCTGGCCCACCAGGGGAGGCCCCGGGCCCCTCCACAACATCCTCCTTCTCACAGGGGCTGGGCCATCCCAGCGCCTGCAGAGACTCCCCCCGGGATTCTCTGTCTTCTGCAGCTTTCTGCTTCAGAGCCAGCCCTGTGCTCGCAGCCCCTCCATCCACAGCAGAATGTGCGCAGGCCAGTGCCAGGAAGGAAGCTGTTGCAGCTGGAAAAGAGGTGTCAGGTGTGATTTTAGACATAAGAAAATGCTACTGAATGACAAACAGGTGCACGCGGATTTAAGATAGCACTGGCACTCTGTGGTAACATACCGGTAACAACACGGACAATGCAGTCAGCGTGCAGCAGACACCTATGTCACCTGTATGGTCCCTGCCCAGTGTGCCTCGCCCACTCCCTACAACTGGGGATACAGGAGTGGACAGGGGACCAGAGGAGTCCTGCACCTGTGCCTCTGGAAGGGCTGCACCTCTAACCTTAGCCACCTGAGTCTCAGGAAGGGAGAAGACACACACCCAGGTTCTGGGGGCTTCGCTGTTCTGCCACACAGCCTGGAAAGAAGCCTGGTGGGCAGCCAGAGAGTGAAGTGGCAGCGAAGCACTGGGAGCTCAGGGCAGGAGTAGCCAGCGGTGCACATGTGCTAGTCTGATTATGTCTCACAACTGGCTTTGAACCTGACCTTGGTTCTCGAAGACTACACGTACCCCTAGCCATCCTCCCCCACCCACCCACCCACAGGGCTCTGCCACCTGACAGCAAGAGTCCTCACTCACACAGAAACCAGCACCAGGAGAGGCCACCTCACAGGGCCGTGGGCCCGGCTTGGGGAAGAGTCCCACGCCGAGAGCAGAAGGTGCTTGGGCAGCGGCAGAGGCAGCTGGGTAAGCCAGCACTGTGTGCTCATGGCAGACCACGTGCCCACTGGGACAAAGGCAGCAGGATACAGGGACACAAGCATGCTGGCTGTGTGTGGCCTCTCTCGAGGGGCAGGAACCGTGATCAAAGGCTGCTCGGCACAAGGCCGGGACTGCAGGCCAGCACACCTAGCAGGGGAACGACCACCTCCTGCCCGCAGGCAGCCATCGAGATGGTGGGATTGGAGCACCTAAATTTCAACAGGTGGAGCCTCTGGGGACCCCCGCCCCCAGGAAGGGATGAGTGTGGCTGAACATAGGGTAGCTCAATCACCCGACACGGGGTTCCTCTGAACTCATGGAGAAACAGCCCCAGGTGTGTTGGTGTGCGTGTGCCAGCTGATGTGCGTCCAGTGTGTGGGCGCGTGCAGGTGTGTGTGCACGCGTCAGCATGTGCGCTCTGGGCAGCCACAGCCCTGTATCCGCCCAGGCTCCCATGGAGGAACGAGAATCATCAGAGAAGAGCAGGAGTATGAGAGGCTGGGCCAGGGCACTTGTCCGCACCGAGGTGAGATGGCGGTACTGCTGGTGCCAATTGCACCAGGATGCAACAGTAACGCGTGGGGGGACGACTCAGTGCATTCTGTCTAAGCTCTGACAGCCAGGGGCCTGAGAGGGCGGGCGGCCAAGGGGGGAGGCTAGGCAGGTTCTCACTCCTCCAGCCTCTGACGTTCACCTGTGACCCTGCTGAGCCCTGGAGACACAGCACATAGGACTACTGTCCTCAAGAAGTCTCAGGCAGGGGGTGTGCCAGGAGAGCGCGGGCAGAGGCCCCAGGACGGAGAGGGAAGAAGGGAGGGCTGCCGGCAGGGGTGGCGGATGAGTGAGCTGTGCCAGGAAAGACGGGTTTGGGGCGATGCTGCCTAAGCCAGGTACACCCCTGCGGCAGCTGGCACACGGCCTCCGGGGAGCCCAGGCTGGTGTCCTAGCCCAGGCCATCCCCCCCAACGCGCCCGCTGCCCCTCACCCCTGTGCGTGTCCATCATGCTGCCTTCCTCGGCGCGCTGTGACCCAGGCCCGGAGCTCCTCCTCACTCCACTGGGCACCAGGAGCGGAGATGAGTCTCGCCTGGGTAAAGGTGAAGAATGACAGTGAGTCTGAGTGTGGGGGTGGGTGGGATGAGGTCACAGAGGAGGGGGAGAGCACCCTTGGGACCCTGAGGAACCAGCTCCTCACCCAGCCCACCCGCCTCAGGACAGTAGTCTGTGACTCGGCCAGCACTGCTCAGACCCCAGCCCTGACGCTGTTCTTTGCCCTCTGTGTCTTTCCACCGACTCCTTCCTTCCACAGGGGTTGCTGAGCTGGTGGGAGACGTGGAGGGAAGGGCAAGCAGCCTGCCTGTGAGGAAACCCACCCAGGAGGGACGCCAGCTGAAGAAAGGCCTCTCCTGATTTGTCCTTCACGTCTAAGACCACAGCCCGCCTTAAAGTTCCCTTTTTTGTTTAAATCAGTTTGAGAAGAGTTTCTGTCACTAGAAAGCAAGAGGATTCTAACTGAAGACACCCTCAGAAACAGGTTCCCTGGGCCACCCTCCAGGGGCTCAGGGTCACCATGCTGGCCCTCCACCTGCCCTCGCAGGTTAGGAGCAGGTCTGCTGGCTGCCGGCTGTGGTTTTCCAGCTCCACATCAAACATGCCCAGGGCCTTCTCTCGGTCCTCAAATGTTGGGAGAATTTTTACGGATTTTTAAAACTATACTGATAATCATAAAGATTTGAATGTAAAATATGAAACAAAAAAAATAAGAAGATAAAAGTTATTTGAATAGTGCAATTTTGGGATGAGGAAGGAGTTTTCCAAGCCTGACAAACCAAAGGGAAATCTGCCAGACTGAACTACACGAGGAAATTCAATGTTTACAAAAAAGAACCGGGGGAGGGGATATTTGCAAAATAGAGATTCATAACTCATAAGACTAAAAAACAGCAAAGATCACGAACAGGTAGCTCACAAAAGAAAAACAAACGGCCAATACTCTTCTAAAAGCGCCACCTCATCCGCAATTAAGAAATGCAATTTAAAATACCAGCTTTTTACTATGAAACTGCAAAGAATTTTTAAAAACTCGCAAGGATTCTGGAAACAGGCCTGCTCATGCACAGCTGACAGACGGAACGCAGCTTGGCTGGGGGGAGGTTTAACATTTACGAAGGCTTCCTTCCGAACGAACACTGATTTCGCTTTCGTCCAAGAATCCACGCTGACGGGGAAATCCCGGACGTTTGCAGAGGTTCACCTACAGGGTCCTGATCGCCAAGCCGTTTACAGAAGACTCCTGGAAATGACCTAATCTTAAGAAGAGGGGCCGAACTGAACCACCCTGACAACAGGCCCAGGCGAGGTGGCACAAGCGCCCGAGTGGAGAACGAGGCACTAGGGGCGGCAGAGACTGGAAGGCCCTGTGTCGGCTCCACGGCCACGCTCGGCGCTCAGCTCTCAGGACCAAGAGGAACCCCGGCTCACGGTGCGCTTCACAGCGGCCGGACAGTGGCCACGCGCCGCGCGGGGCGGCGGGGTCCTCGGGACGGGCGGTGGTTGCCTCAGTTTGCCGCTCCGGCGTGGCCCCACGGTCCGCCACCATGCCCGGCCCACCCGCCACCGACGCGGCCACTCCCCTTGCCCGACCCGGCCGCCTGCCGGAAGCGCCGCTTCCTCCCGCCCCCGCGGCCAGGGCACTTCCGGTGACGCTCTAGGAGGCTGGAGGACCTCGCGCCCGCTGTGCGAAGGCGGCCCTCGCAGGTCCCGGTAGCCGGCGCGTGGCCGTGTTGGTGGCTGGTGGTGGTGGGGAGGGCTCCTCAGGACTCTCGCACTGCCCGGGGCGGGGCGGCCGGGGGACCCCGCGCGCAGCGTGCAGCCTTCCCTCTGCGGTTCCTAACGGCGGAGTTCGTAGCGTCGCATGCAAGGCCCTTCCATTGTCTCTGACCTTCATGTCCACCTTCCTTTCTCTCTTCCAGCCCCTGCTCCAGGGGCTTCCCTGTCACCACTTTCGGCCATCTGGAAGGCCCCTCGTCCTTTGAGATCCATCTCCGCGAAACCCTCCCAGGCCTTCCCACCACATTCTGGGGTGAGGTGGAGAAGCTGGACCGCAGGTGTATACCCAGACCCCAAACTCTGTGAGCCTGAGAAGACTCCACCTTGATGACTGGCAGTAATTTTCCAGGAACTTGAGTAACTTCCTTTAAGTTGTTTTTCAGAAACCAGCAGATGTACCAAGAAAAATGGAGAAAACTCGTTTTAACAAGCTATGATCTCCACGCATGCGCAAACAGCCTCACTCGTCTACCCTTCGAAAACTCAGGCCGCCACCGCGGAACCTGTCTCTTACACTCCGGGGTAGAAATTCCTGGTTCCCCGATGATTAAACTCTGAAATGCTTCTGCCGTGCTTGGGTAGAAGAATAAAAATTGGCCTGGCCCTTTATATCGAAGCCAGCAAAGTTTTAGCCAATCACCAAATGACACCCAATCCCTTTATCCGAATGTATGTATTTTCTCTTCTTGTTGTTAGGTGTTGCTCAGCTGGTTCCTACTCACAGGGATCCTGTGTACAACTGAAGAAACACTTTCCGATGCTCACAATTGTTGTTATGCTTGAGCCCATTGTTTTTATTTTTATTTTTTTATTGTACTTCAGGTGAAGGCTTACAGAACAAATAGTTTCTCATGAAACACAAGTACACATGTTGTTTTATGACATTGGTTAAC